TTGTTTCAGATATTAATAGTAGAGATGCACATTTCGATAACATAATTGGTTAACTACGAATACAAATCGACCTTATAATTATATTAGATAGTGGGGCAGTCCTCTCCACTGAGTGTCCACGTCGGCAAACTAATTGGTTTTCTCCGGATCCGAATAAAATAGTAAAATCTCTGATCCGTGAAAAGAAGATCCCGATTCGGATAGCAAAATTTTGAAGTCCGATCCGGATCCGGACACATTAAATATATTAAAAACATATTTTTTAACATATATTAGCTATTTTTATATCAATATATATATATATAAATTGATTTTAGTTTTTTTATAATATATTGTATTTATTATGAAAATTAATCCAAAATTTTAACTAAATTATTTATTAATTATTTTTTATATTAATTTTGGATACGGATCCGGATATCTTGATTTTTGGTCTAATATCTAAAGTCTGGATATTCAGAGGCCACAGATCTGGATCCGGATATTTTTACCACGGATCCGAATACCCTAAAATTCCAAGATATCCGAATCCGTCTCATCCCGGGCCGGGAAAACAGTCAATTTCGACCTCAATTTTTTCCGTCAAGTGAACTTAAAAATAATTCAAACTTTATACATGACCTAACATTCAAATTGTATACTTGAAAACTCAAAATCGAATCCCTAACTCGATAAAATGACGTCGTTTTCATTTGGGAATTTATCGAATTAAAGATTCGATTTTGAGTTTCCCCCAATAAAAACGACATCGTTTTACTAAAATAACAAAACGACGTTATATTGAACCAACAAAACCGAGCCACCTAACCCACATGTAGTTTTAGTCATTTTGTTTTGGCACATCGAATGTTAGTTTATGTATGAATTTTGAATGATTTTTTAGTTCAGCTTAAAATAAGCCACATGTAAAAGAAAGTCTAAAAGTGCACGACGGCAAAAATTAAAGCCAAAATTGGTCGTTTTCCCGTACCACCCCCTACCTTCAATGTCGGATTACAACCATTTCAGAAATCTCTCACAAAAAAAAAACTATAAATACCACACATTCCATCCCAAACCTACACGTCTCACCTTCCTTTCCTGCTCAGTCAAATTGTTTTCCCTAATTATGGTGGCCGTAGACTTAATTAGTAGTTATAGTTTTGAGTTTCTCTTTAGCAAAGAAACCTAAATTAAATTCATTGAAAGAAGAAAAGCACAGCATCTTGAAGAGCACAAAAGAGTCTCTCATTAATCTAGACATATTTTGTATCCTGACATATGCGCACAGCGATTATGAATAAAAGGGGTGAGAATGGAGACCCGATTACGAATATATTTTGTATCAATGTGAAAGATTAACCAAGCACTACAGAGTCAGCCATTAAGATCAACTGTATTAAACTTTTGGATGACACTTAATCACCAACTCAGTGAAAGCAAATTACAAAACAGACAATATACAGCTCGATTCAGGTCAATAATTGAACAATGTGGCAACTGATTTTAAACCAAAGATTCTTGATCAATATTGTTACCATTAACCCCAATCAATCTCTCAACAAATCAACCGGAGGCGCATTGCAATATTGGATACAAACCAAATCTCACAATTTAACCATTAATGTACATTGTTTCATAATTAAAAAAAAAAAAACGAATCTAGAAGATGAAGTAGCGATACAAAGATTGCTTAAAAACTCCATTAAACATCATTGAGCATGTATCACCACGTGTAGAAAATTTTCTTGATTCACATGCAGTATGAAATTTAAAAGTCAAATAAAAAATCCCTATT